GAAAAGACAGGCGCGCGCGTTTACACAGCCCTAAACTTCTCATATCACAAACACTCCAACACACCACCGAACACACACCTAAACTTCCGTCGCAAATTCTATAAGCTACTCCGGTCGCATACACGAGAATACTCTACACCGTGCACTGCTATCGAACCCAGCTCTACACTATTAATTGCGTCCCAAGACCAGTACATGACGACATCTAACACCTCGATGAGGCAATCATACTCTAACCACCATATAAACAACATCTCGACAACCGACAATCCGTCTCGACTAGGAGGGAAATATTCTCTGAGACGATTGTACGCAGTACTCAAACCAAAATAATACATCACACACCTCACTACACTCCGCAACACATCAGACAGCTCAGCGACACCACCGCTAACAAAACGACTCCGCCACAAACACAACATCGTAAGCTACACCACACCATCGAACGATTATCCGTCGTTCACAACTTTCAGTCTGCCCAATAATATGCGTGTCTCACGGAGACACCTTCTGCCCATTCTTTACCCGCGCGGCGAAATATTTTGCCGACAGGAAAACACCACTTAAATCGCACCATCGTCGCAAATCACCGGTCGCAATATCTGTAGTACCACCAGTTCGCAAATCAAATTACCATTCTCGCTCTGGGTTCATGGGCGAATTTTCACGCCGCCAAAATTTGCGACCGATGGCTGTCATTAAGTCGCAAATCGGATCGCAAAACTGCTTAACCGATTTAGGTCAGGTTCCGACAAAAATCTGGTCTCGCAATTGAGCGTCTTTTTTTTTTACTGTAGTGACTCGGTAAACAGACGGAAATGCTTGGTAACCCCTCTTCTTATAGTCTCGTACCTTTTTATGTGGTTTCTGTAATGCTACCATTCTCGCGGGAATTTTCAGCGCCAAAATTTGCGACCGATGGCTTATAAGTCGCAAATCGGTCGCAAAACTGCTACCGATTTAGGTCGGTCGCAAAAATTGGTCGCAATTGAGCGTTTTTTTTTGTAGTGACTGGTAAACGACGAATGCTTGGTAACTTTCTTATAGTCTCGTCCTTTTATGTGGTTTCCTGTAATGCTCTTAACACTTTTTATAGTAGTTTCTTCATCTTTGGCCATCCACGAGGGCAGATCAGTTGAAATCTCTCTATCGGTGCAATCTTCTGAATTAAAACGACCTTGCCAATAGGTAAAATCCTATCTGTGGCTTCAAGTCCCTACATTTTATAGGTTATCTTTCTCTAATAATTACAATTTCTTTTCTAGGGAGGTGAGGAAGAAATATTAACAATCATACATAGTTCCCCTAGGGGGTGATATTTCAAAACTTGACAACATCTCTTCTTCATAAGAAGAGGCTTCTTCATCGACTGATCGTAAAATTGAGAGTGTTATGGACATCGCTTTTGAAATTGAGGCCATGATGGGCATTGATACTCCTACATTAATGAACCCTAGCAACCATTCTCTCAATCATACTGTTATGATTACTTTTGGTGATTATTGAAGCTCGATTGACAAAAGTAGATGATAATATTAACTTTTTTGTTGCCATCCCTTTATTGAGATCGACCAAAGATCCAGACCCTAAATTTTTTCCAAGGTTACTATTCCTTGTCAAATAAAGGTTTTGATGTTCAAAAAGCTCTTTGTTGTGTTTGAGAGTACTCTTAGCTTAAGGGATGCACGATACTGAACGCTGAGATCTATAAAAATCTAGCACTAGACTTATAATTTATCTTGGTTCATGGCCTTGGCCAACTGCCTGAGAGTTAACTCTATTACATTCATGACTTGACCTTCCAACTTACCAATTGATGTTTTATGGATTAATTGGATTGGGGCATCCCAGCAACAAGCATCACCCCTAGTAAACGACAAATGCTTGGTAACTTTCTCATCCTCTTGTCCTTTTATGTGGTTTCTTGTACTGTTCTTAACCATTTTTATAGTAGTTTCTTCGTCTTTGGCCATCCACGAGGGCAAATCAGTTAAAACCTCCTTATCGGCACAATCTTCTCAATCAAAATGACCTTGCCAAGAGGTAAACTTCTTTTTTTGCCTATAGCTTATGGTCCCTATATTTTATAGGTTGTCTTTCACTAATAACTAAATTTTCTTTTCCAGGGAGGTAAGGAACAAATATTAACAACCACACATAGTTTCCCTAGGGATGATATTTCAGAACCTGACATCGTCTCTTCTTCATAGGAAGAGGCTTCTTCACCAGCTGACCGTATAACTGAGAGTGTTGTGGACATGGCTAATGAAATTGAGGTCATGATGGGCATTGATACTTATATACTAACGAACCCTATCAATCGTTCACTCAATCATGTTGTTGTGATTACTACTAGTGATTCTTCTATTACAGCTAGACTGGCAAAACTAGATGATGACATTAACATCTTTGTTGCCATCACTTTGTTGGTTTTGACCGAAGATCCAAACCATAAATTATCTTTTGTCAAGGTTCTTGTTCCTCGTCAGATAAAGTTTTTGATGTTGAGAAAGCTCTTTCTTGGGTTTGAAGGTACTCTCAACTTATGGAATGTGCAGTACTGAACACTAAGATCTACCAAAATATGGCACTAGACATAAATTTCTCTTGGTTCATGGATCTTGCCAGCTACCTGAGAGTCAACTCCATTACATTCATGACTTGACTTTCAACTTACTACTCTTGAAATCGATATGTTGAATGATGAGTCGACTCTTCGGATAGGTCAAAGAGCAAAAGAAATTTCCAACCTGTATTCTTCTTTTCATCAATGGTTTTCTAAGGGATCGGCGAAAAAGCCTGAGCTCAAATCCCTTCAAGCTAAGATGCCGGTCCTTCAAGATAAGATTTCAACCTTAATTATAGACCCAAGTGGCCACTTTAGATGTAGAATAATTAACCTACAAGGACAAGCCTTGCTTTTATAGAAAAAGGTGCCCAGTACATCGTTGAACTTATTTTCTTCTATTTTTTCCTAGTTGTACATCAAGCCATGCCCCTTTCTATAATTAGCACGTTTTAATGACAAATATTGTGCATTTCCTTGTAGCTAACTGAAACAATATTGCCTTAGCTTTTTGTGAATGTTAGGACCAACCTGCTTTTAGATAGTCCTTTTTGTTTAAGTTGATCATTGCATCTCTTTTAGTGTAGGCCGATCGGAAGCCCCTTTTCATGGATCAACAGGGTATTAGCTAGTCTAATTTGGACGTCTTCCTTGATATTGTCCCCAATTGCGAGTAGGAGTTGGTCATTTGTCATGCTAAATCATTTTGTTAATTATTCAGCATCATCGACTATTTCATCTAGTCATAAAATAGGGTCAATATGACAATAGTCTTGCCCAAATGCATTGTTAAAGCCATTATTTGGCCAAATGACTGTCGGTTCTAACAAGAAGCCATTTTGGTGACTTAAATGATTGTCTGTTTTAACTTTAGTCAATCCATGATAATCCTTATCTCCTTAGATTAATCTAGGGCTTTCCACAAGGTTGATTGTCTATGGGCACTCAAATTCCTCAAGGTCTAATTCATGATAAAAAATTAGGTTGAGTTGGTTCTATTCAGTTGTTCACTTCTTAGACATCAGATTGAACATACCCCTAAGTGTAGACCAGATCCTCAGATTGGCCGCTTGCAAAACGAGAAGGAGTAGTCATTTCTAGGTCAATCTTGAGCAGGTCGCACAGCCTGCCCATTCTGACATGGCAGTCCTTAAGCGGCTGATGTTCTCATGTAGGTTCATCATAGCATCTTGTATGTACGAATAGGCCGCTCATGTTTCTTCCACAACCAACTGAAATGCTCTTTTGAATATCTTAGTACAAATCATCCGATAGGTCGATTTGTCTGTTCCAAAGGTTGAGCATTTGGCCAAGCGTATGAAATTATCCAAACTTAGTTATACCAAATTATCAGCAGTTTTTTCATCATCCTGATATCTTAAAAAAGCTCAAACGACTCCATCGAGTGTGCCATACTAGTTGTTCGGTCTAAAATTGGGGTTATATATGTTAGATTTGTGTTTATCAAGAACACCTTGAGATAGGGCAGATTAGGTCGCCTATTAGTCTAGAGAAGAAAGGATTGAGAATAAGAAGAGTTTAGGAGGAGAAAAGCAAAATGAGAGGGACAAAAGAGAAATATAAGAAATTGAGAGATTAGAAAAGAAAGGGGAGTTAAAGGTGACTTGAATACACATGACAATTCTGTCTATTTATATGGATTCGTGTTCATTTAGAACATTGATTCCTCTATGTATAGGGTCCCAAAGAGTGTCCTCCAACCAAGGTGCACCTTTTAGAAAATCTATATAAAAATCTAATAACGTCTTAAATATATGTGATATTTACAATCATGGGTTTAAGGTCCAAGTAGCCCTCATCACACTTTTTTAACTACATAATGACCCTTTTTAAACTTAGCTAATTTGGGTCTCTCGTTTGAGCCTGGTTTTTGGGCCCGCGTCAACAATTTCACTACTAAATCATGTGATATATAATAAGTTAAAATCGGATAGTTTTAAGTCCATGAACTGGATTGGTCCTGATTACAATTAAAATTAAACATGAAGGAATTCATTTACTTTATCTAAAGTACCGTACAAAAAAGTAATCTTACAATATGTTCATCAACAAGCGATCATCACTTCTTCAACATTTCAGCAACAGTATATACTTCCAACACCATACAACCTCAAGTACCAACCAAATAAGAAAGGGAGAGAGGGAGAGATAGCAGCTTTTTCTTTATTATTATTATTATTACTGTAAGGCCTATGAATCCCATGTAAGATGATAATCATTGGGGCTAGCATTATAATACTCAGGCATTAGTGCAGACTCCACAAAATCAAAATCAAAGTTAGAGCTTTCAAATGAAGTGTCCACGTTTGAGCCTGGTTTTTGGGCCCGCGTCAACAATTTCACTACTAAATCATGTGATATATAATAAGTTAAAATCGGATAGTTTTAAGTCCATGAACTGGATTGGTCCTGATTACAATTAAAATTAAACATGAAGGAATTCATTTACTTTATCTAAAGTACCGTACAAAAAAGTAATCTTACAATATGTTCATCAACAAGCGATCATCACTTCTTCAACATTTCAGCAACAGTATATACTTCCAACACCATACAACCTCAAGTACCAACCAAATAAGAAAGGGAGAGAGGGAGAGATAGCAGCTTTTTCTTTATTATTATTATTATTACTGTAAGGCCTATGAATCCCATGTAAGATGATAATCATTGGGGCTAGCATTATAATACTCAGGCATTAGTGCAGACTCCACAAAATCAAAATCAAAGTTAGAGCTTTCAAATGAAGTGTCCATATTCTGCCTAACGCTGAACTCATTATTATTATTATTAGTCTTCTCATCAATTTCAAATAATACTTTCATTATTTCTTCATTTCTTGATGAGGGTTCAAGAATATCTGGCTCAATACTACCACTTTTACTACTAGAACTCCAGAAGCACCTCTCATCTATTATGCCAAACCCAGGCGGATACTCATGTGAAATAGTAGAACAAGTCATAGGAACACTTCCCAGTGAAAAAGATTGGCTTGGACACTCCATTACAGCTGGATTATTATTAGGGTTTTGATATTCGCACGTTGAAGGAGGAAAAATAGAAGGGAAAAATGAAGTAAGGGATGTTTTCGTTTCCATGGAAAGATCTTTCATTTGAGAACTGACAGTGAAAACTGAAGTGGGTTTTTGTTGATGGGAATTGTTATAGTTTTGTTTATTGTTATTATAATAATTAGGAGAAAGGAGTTTGTGAGTGTTGGGATCTAACCCTTGAGCAATAAGCTTTTTCTTGATGCATGAGTTCCAGAAATTCTTGACCTCATTGTCAGTTCTACCAGGTAAATGTTTAGCTATCTGAGCCCATTTGTTGCCTAGAATTCTATGAACATCAATGATGGTCCTCTCTTCTTGTGCTGTAAATGAACCTCTTTTTAGATCTGGTCTCAAGTAGTTTATCCATCTTAGTCTGCAACTCTTTCCACACCTTTGCAGACCTGCAAAAAGAAAAATTTATAGCAGTGAGTTCCTATAACGAAGAGATTAGTGGTCCCATACTCCCATTACATATAAGAGTTCTGGAGCTCAAATTCTAACTCTCATTACTCTTTAACAGAATACCAAGAAAAATAAAGACAACCCATCTCAAAAAGGTCCAAGAAAAGAAAATTAGGGTTGGAGACATGAAAGAAAAGTGAAGAACCTGCTAGCTTGGGAACAGAACTCCAAGAACCATGACCATGAGTGGTTATGACCTTAATAAGCTTCTCATCTTCTTCAGGAGACCATAAGCCTCTCTTAACTTTCTGTTTGCTACAACATTGATGGCCCATTATTAATTTTTTTACCCAGAAACCTCTGTCAGTATCTACCAACGCTCACCATTTAGTTTATGACTGTGCTTTCTTGAACCAATTTCTCTATAGTTCTTGAAATGCAAAATCCTATGCTTTATATAAAGAAAAATATTGCTTCATTAATTTGGATACAGTCCACGTGTATAATAAATTGGTTAATATTAATTTAAAGAGAGAGAGAAAGAGAGAGAGAGAGATTGTGGAAATTGAACTTTGGGTATACTCATGATCATTGGACCACTGGCCTCTAATCAAGTGTGTCGGGAAAGTTCAAGCCTTGTCTTGAACAATTGCTCTCAACTCGATTGCTGCTTTTCTTTAACTAAAATAAACAAAAATTAATTATTACTTACTTGAAGGATTAGTGAATTGGTATGAGCTCCAAAAACATGATCATACTTATAGTTAACTCTATAATTAATTAAAGAATTAGTCAATATATTGAAGATCACACATCTCCACATTTCTACATAAGTTGGTATATATGTTTTTTTCTTTCTTTTTTTCCATTTATTCTTCATGGATAAACAATTTTATAAATTGAAGAATTTAATGGGTTAAAGTAAAAAATCAAGAGTGTCACACAGTTTTATATGTAAAATATATCGGAATAAATTTATGCATTTTGCCTTTATAATTTATTTAAATTTAACTGATGATCATCATGTTTACACGAAGTTACAAAGAAAGACATTTCCTAAATGGGCATTAGTTTTTGATTCTCTATATCTAGCTGGATTATGATTGTAGGGTTAAACTTTAAACCAAAAATATACTTAAAGAAAACAAAGAAATAATCTTTCTACACAAGGTACAATATTTGGTGGACAGCTTAATGATGGCCATAAACGGGAAGGCTAATCATACAAAGATGACAAACATCATTTCTTCCATCAAAATTCAACATGCAAAAGCATTCCCCACCCAAATAAATATATACTCGCATACATGCACATGTGGATATATATATATCATAAGCCAAATGCATAGATTTGCCTTTGAAATTTACGCGGCTTATCCTGTAGCACCCTTAAGTTTGTGAGAATTTATTATAATTCTATATTTTTACATTTTAATAATAATTATATCACTCGCCAAAATAAAATATAAAAGTGAATGGTCACAATTGAACTCTTACAAAATTATTTCATTTTAATAAGAGATATAATTATTACTGAAATGTTAAATTTAGAATCATAATAGATTCTTACAAATATAATAGTGCCCCAAGATAAATTGAGGCATGTATATTTCCATTCTTGGCTTTACCGTTTATTGAATGTGTCAATTTCTAGGTGACAACGAAGATGATTATTATGATAAGATGTTTTTGCTTTCATGATTTTCAGTATTTTTTTTTACCCTTAACTTTGATTTTTTTTTTTTTGTTTTTTGGGCTTTTCTTTTTATTCTGTTATAAATTTATACTTTTCAGGTAATTTTTTTTTTCTCTAGGAGAAAATCACGTGGAAAAGTAAAAAGGCAGCAAAGAGCATAGATTCCAAAGAAAAAAAAATGGAAAAAACTGTCCCTTTAATTTACCATTTTTGGCTTTAACAAAATGTCAATGTTGTTTGCCATTTAGAATCATTGCATTGAGTGTAGGTAAAAGCTTTCTCTAATCTCCAAATTTTACTTTTCCTTCTTTTGGAGGTGAAAGATAATGTTTAAGTGTCATATAATATGTTGACATAATTTACCATTTTTGGCTTTAACAAAATGTCAATGTTGTTTGCCATTTAGAATCATTGCATTGAGTGTAGGTAAAAGCTTTCTCTAATCTCCAAATTTTACTTTTCCTTCTTTTGGAGGTGAAAGATAATGTTTAAGTGTCATATAATATGTTGACAAGACAACATTTGTCTTCTTCTTTTCTCTTCTCATGTACGAAAAAATGAGTTTTTGTCTAGCAACTAATGGTTATATAGTAAGTTTACTTTTAAAAGATATGGAAATAAAAGCTTCAGTATTAAATTCATGATTTGAACATATATGCAAAGGCAAATTTTAATAAAGTCTTGCCTACTTAGTATATACCTCAACAAAGACTTATATATACTAATGTTATATTGACGCATAGTGTTCATTCACTAATGTTATATTGACGCATAGTGGTGGGAATTCAACTGTATACGTTATATGCAATAAGTTTTTTTAGAAAAATCAATCCAGGTGTATAAGACTTACAGAAGTTAATTATTTTGCTATCTAAATTAATTAAAGGACCAAATGTCATTGTGAAGATTTATATCTTTTACATAACATCTTCAAGCTGAAAGATTTAATATCGTATCTTTTAATTTTAGTTTTATTATTTAAAAAAATATAAGCAATTATAGTACTTGATATTATAATTAATGAATTACATTTCTAAAAAAAAAAAAAATTATACTTAATTATTTGTCATTACCCCAATAGTTGGATAATCAATTGTAAAAATTAAAGATTCAAATGACAACAACCCTTCCTCTTTAAAAAAATTCCCATTATTATACAAATAAAAGAAAACACTAAAATTGTAAATGGTAAGTTCACATAACTGCAATAAGTAGAAAAGCTACAATAAAATTGCAGAACAGCTATACATTACGCATGATTCATTTCTCAATACTATAAGTTAGATATTTCTTAATAATTTTTTATTTTATGGGTTTGTTTATAATATATATACACACACATGATTCATGAATGAGAAGCAACATTAGTTTAGTTTGCTTGTTAAAGACAAAACAGCTTCCTAAAAGTTAATTAACCTAAACAAGCAAAGCTCTTATTTCTAATTTTATTAAATTGCCTTTAAAAATTGAAACCAAATATTAGGCTTTGGGAGGTTTTTTAACCATTCAATGTAAGATTCGAGGGGAAGAAAGCGCTTCTTCTCAATATTTAAAAGGACTTCATATTCAAAATTCAAACTCAAGGCCTTTGGTTATAGTAGAAGAGATCATTGTCATCTCATCTCATCCTTCGGAATGGCTTTGGGAGGTTATCATTAATTAAGTTAATTAGTTAAAATAGTTTGTTGGCTTTTCTACATCAAAGAGTCCTTTATGAACAAGAATGTATGATAAATGAATTATGAGTGATGTAATTAGCAGCTAATACATGTGTATATTTTACGTCCTCCTAGGTACTTTGGTCCTACTGTAGGTGTAATGTTCTGTCAAATGTATGTAGGGACAAGTTTAGAGGGGCCTTGAACTCAAATTGTACATATATATTTTCATTTTTTAGTATATATACTATATAAAATAAAAATATGTCCCGAAATAATTAAAAAAAGCCATCAAAATATTAAAAATATTTACTTTTATCTACTTATATAAATAGTACATAATATATTTATTTTTCATTACCTGTACACTAGTGTACTATCCATTGTGAATATTATTTTTCAATTTCAAGTGAAAAATGTTAACTGTGAATTTTGATTGTCCATTTTTATTATTTATTAGGATAAAAATGCTATTATTTGTTGAGATTTAACCCTAATTACTATTTTATTTTTTTTATTCATCTTGAAGTTTAACTCCGTAATTATTTAGTTCTTCAATCTAAGAAGTGTCAAATAGCGTATAGAAACAAATCAAATCTCTCGAGTTACTTCTAAATAGATTTGGACTTTTTGGGACTTAGTTAAAATTGAACTAAAATGAAAAAAATAAAAATCAGCTCTTTTTATTAACAAATCGAAATCGAATTAAATCGAATCATTTCGGTTTAGTTGAATGGTTCAATTTTACCAAACTTTTCTTATCCTATACAAATAGATAGACACTATATCAAAGAAAAAGAAAAAGAAAAAGAAAAAGAAAATTACACAGGCACTAAACCATTTTTCCATTCAAAATACATAACCTATAATTAGTAATCATAGGTTAGTTGAACCTGTAAGTATAAGATGACCCTGAACGCAAACCAAGGACTTAAAAGGCAGACTATTATTAAGCAAGTGCCCTGACTTTTGGGGCAGTCAAAATAAGCTTTTTTTTCTTTTTTTTTTTACTAATATGGAGCAAAAGGGCCCTACTGACGGTTAAACTTCTAGATAACACAAAGGACAAACAGCACTCCATTTTTTTATTTACCATTAAAATAACTAATTACCGACATTTTAATGATTATTACTTTAAAGTTATTATAATCAAAAGATAAACAGACTTGATTATACCCACTCGCTAAGCTATCACATTGGTGATAACAAATTCTTAGTCCTCCAATCTCTTTTCTTCTCTATTTTTTTTTTTTTTTTTCACAAAGGACAAACAGACAACTCCAGTTTTATTATTTACCATTAAATAACTAATTACGCGACATTTTAATGATATTACTTAGTTATTATAAGTTCACAAAGAATAAACAGACTTTGATTATACACACTCGCTAAGCTATCGAGCATTGGTGATAACAAAATTTCTAGTCCTCCAATACCTTTTTCTTCTCTTATTTTTTTGTTTTTTTTGTTGATATCATATCGTTACTTTTCTATATGACTTTCATTTTTCGAATTGCTGAATTTTGAACTTTGGTTTGTTTATTTATTTTTCCATGCTAACCACTACCAATCTATGCCTTGATTAAAAGACAAAGATTGGTCCCTTGTGGTTTTAACAATTGTAACAGCGAAAATGTCTGTCCTCTACGACCTAATCAGTTCCTCTCTGTTCTTTTCTTTTTTTTTTTTTTTTTTTTGAAAAATAATAACTTTGGTGCCAGGAATCTATATTTTTTTTTTCTATTTTGGTCTCTCATCAAAAATTTTTTTCAATTGAGTGTTTAAATCTGTAAAAATTTGAAATTGAGTATCTCTAAACACATTAGATTGTTGGAATGTTGAGTCAGAAAAAATGGGATCCGTTTTTTATTGGGTAGCAGCTGATATTCGTACCACTTTTTATTAGGCTTTACACCTCCCTCCCCCGTTGAATTCCACACCACAACACCTCTTTCCGATATTTTATCAAAAATCTTCCTTCCATTACCCAATTACTAGACTTGCCATAAAAAAAAAAAAAAGAGACTAAAGCTGACTGCACATGCACATCCAC